ATAGAACATAGCATTGCAGCGTGACATTACAAGAGTTCCTCATCACAGCAGTGACAACCTTCCCTTGAATGTATGACAGAATTACAAAGCACATGCTTTTATACAGGAAAACATATTTAACAAAAGAAATTAAATTATGCTGCACTGAAGAGAGTTAACTGCTTAAAGCCATGAACAGACTGCATCCTCTACAGACCTGATTCTTTAGGAAACTGATGCCTGATCACGTTGCTGTCCAGATTACATTCCAGATATCACGTGTCTGTCTATAAAAGTCCTCTAGGAATAATTATTGCCTCTTGAAGAAGAATAGGCTGCCTTTCTAAATGCTTAGACTTCTCAATTCCCAGCAAAGCCAGCATTGAGCTACTTTTCCTTCTAGCCAAATTAATCTCTACTGTGGTCTTGATTCAGCAAGTTACTTAATTACATGACTAACTTTAAGCATGAGGTTAATCAATAGACTTACTTGACATGGACAGCTCATATTACAATGAAAATGAGATGAAATTGTTCGCTGAATCAGGCTCTAAAAGAATGAAGAAGGATATTTTAAAAGGATATAGAAATGGTAAGATTTTAAAGCACGTGATTTTTGCAGATATGTTTTATGGATCCACAGTGACTACATAATAAAAAGCATAACTAGAATTCTATAGATTATCTAGTTTGCAAACTCTGACCATGATGACGTATTCCTTTCCACCAAAAGCTTATATCATGGTATTCTCTGCTGGAAGAGATGTTTTCTTCACTGCAATAGTTGTGATTAGGTGGGCATGGTGTTTTTGTGTGTCAAAGTTTTGAAAGTTCCATTTACCATACCACTATTTGTCCCCATTTTTAACAGCAGTGGAAAATAGTATCAGTATTGTCAGCACTGGTGTTGACAGAGTTCATCATTTTTCACCACTGCATCATAAAAACCTTCCCTGAACTGTTAATAAACAAAATTCATTCCTTTGCTGACGACTTTCTTGTAACTTGAATGATGTGTTAGCCTTCAATTAAGGAGTGAATTTCACTTGAGTGCCTTTGAACAGGCTGAAGTGGCAAATTTTAAGAGATTGCTATCAATATGTGCAACTTGAAGAATTTATTTAGGCACTGAAAGAATTTATGAACTTCCAAGAACTGGTCATGTCCTGAGATATCACAGACATTGAAGGACTTACAGAAGATCTTGATAAGAGATGGTTGGAAGTTTTTGAATGAAATGATTTTTGCTGGAAAATTTAGGTTCAGAAACATTTTTCCCACAGAAGCTTTGTCCAAGGGGTGTGTGTGGACACACACACACACATATATATATATTACTTTTCATTTGAGCAAATTTAAATTAAGTATATCAGGTAGGTTCAACCTGAATTGATTAAATTGTTTTGGTCTATGGTGCTGTGGTGCCTCATGGGTTTTCTAGTTAGTGCATGCCCCCATAAGATAAGCTTCTTGGCTGAACTACAGTGCCATGATACATGATGGTCTCAGTTCAAACTGAACCATGCCATTTATCCTGGGAGTCAAATGATGCAGTGTATCAGTGATGATGGAGTAGTATGGAGTAGAGATGTGAGGAAGCTGGCAAGAAAATCAGATTTCTGCCAACTGGGCTCAGAATCTGGCCAGAAAAATCTGTGCAAGCCTTTGTGAAATCAGAAGTAGATAGGAGCATGGGATTTACAGGTCTTCCACTCTTGGGTAGTGCAGTGCTACTTTGGGCTTCCTGCGTGCTCACTGCCTTATAACCACCTGTCTCTGAGAAGGAAGTAAATGCTCTAAAAAGCATCAACCATATCCATGGACAAGGAAATGGCTTTTCCTTGTGGGAAAACATGCCTCAAAGAGCATGTGTCTTTCCATCCAATCACCATCCACATAGTTCATGAAACTTATATGCTGCTTCCTACCTTTTTTCCTCCCACATAGCAGCATAGAGGAAGCAAGTTTTGTGTAAGTGGACACTGTGGCTATAAATTAAATTTGTTATAGGAAAATGCAAAGGGAGGCACTCTAGGCAAAAAATGTTAATATATTGCATTTACTGCTAGGTTCTGAAAAAGGTTGCTACCTTTAACAATACATATGTAGAAGCCAAGAAAGATAGCAAGGTGACAGTTCAGTATGCAGTGGCAGTCCAAAGTGCAAGAAAGAGATAAAACTACATGAAGAAAAAACTGGAGAACAGTATAAAAAGATGATTATGTCCATATATAAATTGGTGTTTTGTCCTTAGCTTGTGTATTTCATTTAGCTTGGGTCACTGCAGAAATGGGAGAGGCCACACAGGGCAAAAAAAGGCAGCAGTAGACACAGACAGGCTCCATAAGAAGAAAAGATTTAGAAAGAAGTTAGGACTTAATGCATTGCTGATATAGCAACTCTGCAACTCTGTGATTTTAGAGCCACTTGTCTCAGCAGCAAATGTGGTTGTAAAGATATTTTTGCATGAAAATGTGAAGCATAATAAGACATATCATCAGAAAAGAAGCCCAATTATCATGGTAATAGTATCCAGTTTACCAAACCCTTTCTAAAGGAGATAGAGAGATAAGGATCATTTATCCCATCATATTAGGGACGGTGAGAGCCAGAGATATGAAGTTCCTTGTCCAAGGTAACATGGGACGTGTCTATACATGGTGCATTTGTAGCTGCGCTGTCTTTTAGCACAGGAAGGAAGTACTAAATGGCGGCACAGTAAAAGCCCATACTGCATTGTGTGCACCGCACACAATTATTTTTACCTGCTGCATCACCATTGCAAGGCGGTACAATGAGGGAGTGCATTGCTATGATGACATAGCTCTGGTGTCATGGTTTGGGACCACCGATGCTGTGTAGCTCATTGCTACGGTGATGTAGTGTCACAGGTAGACCCTCCCACGGTTATTTAATGACAGAGCTGGGAAGAGAACCTGCCTCTCCTGAGCCATCCTAAAATGCTCTACCCACTCATCCAGTGTCTGCCCTTTGGTTAGTCCTGTTTAAGAGGACTCCTTATAAAAGAAAGTAAGGCACTTGATGGAACGTGTTGACAATACCTTTAAACTGAACAACACAAATTCAGTATATGGAATGAAGAGCTAAAATGCTATACTTGTCCCTCAGGATTTTATTGAGGCAAGTCAATTTGAGGGACTCAGAAAAGGATAAAGCATTTTACATGTATAACAACAACCTTTGCTGCTGCTTAATATGAATTAAATAAAACGTATAAAATTCACCAATACACAGTTGTCTCCTAAGGCACAGATTAAACCTTCTGGGTCAAGAAGATTCATGTTGCCATAGTAAGGTATTATGAACATTTCCACACAGCATTTCTGTGTAGGGACATAATTACCCTGCAATACCCTGGACAAGTCTGGACCAGAGACAGAATTCCTAGGTCCTGAACCATAAACTTTGCATTCAGGGCCTAGCTTCAGTCCACATCTAATTCCTGTGAAGTGTCCTGATAGTTTTAGAAACAACCTAATCTTTTTCTCCTCTTGTGTGGCAGAGGGGAGATCACAAGGAAACTCTTCCTTTCTTCCCATTATACCTCAGTCCCCTGAGCAAGAGCCAATAGCCACCTGTACTCCCTAATGTAGATGTGTAAACATAGGTAATTCTAATCCTCTGAGTATTTGGATATTTAAAATGGTTTTAGTCTCAATTTGGAATAAAAGAAAAAATTAAATTCCTCACAAAAGAGCTTTCCCTGGCAGGTTGCATTTCACATCTACAAAGCAAGAGGAAAACAAGATTTCCAGAGGAATCTGCTAAGCGTAATTTGTCTGAGTGGAAGAATACAGATCTTATCCTTGTTTGGTTCCTTCATTTTCTGCTGCATCAATCATGGAAGTGGGTGTGGAGAGAATATAAAAATATTTAAAACTTTGGTATAGATCCTGCCTGCATGAATGATGTTTGGTCCAGGCTCAAGGATACCATCATTAATAAACCAACCTATTGCTGCAGGTCAGGGAAATTAAGTTAATGATGAGCTTTTTCTCCAACTCCCCAAAGTCCATTATCCAAGGATTCTACTGTCTTTTTCAGTGATTCACAGGTACCCAAAAAGGGAGAAAATATAGAAATATGTAGGATTTTACAGAGTTGGAAAGGTGGAGGGGCATGACGTTTTAAAACAGGTACAATAACAGAAAGGAAAGAAGTACAGATTGATTTGAAAGCAGAATATCATGATCAAATTGGTGGGCAAGGAAAAAGACACCACAAACCAGCAAATAAACAGATACTGATTTGAAATTGTCACATCCTTTTTAGAATCACCACCCTCTTTCACTGCTTCTCCTTTTTACTTCACTCCACCCTTATTCAGAAAATTAGGGAAAAAATTAGTTGACCTTGATTTAAACAAGTCTAATCCATGCTTTCCTATGGAAATCCAACTCAATTATTTTTGGCAAGTCACTTAATCCTTCAGCTTCCTAGACTATGTCTACTTACTGTGGCCAGTGGCAGTACTCTCAAGTACACTGCATGCCTTCGGTTAAGCTATCTTCAAAACTGGAGTCAGGGTAGAAGGTCTGTGTGGCATCATCCTGGGTGGGTGATTGGCCCTGTCACTCAGCATAGCTAATTATCCTGTAAAAAACACGTGAGGGCAGCTATACTGCTTCCAGCATAGGAGGCAGCCCACATGGAGCACAGTAACATGCTTGTGGCCATCACTACCAGGCACAGTAAGCTACGTTTACGTTGGAGACATGGCTCCAGCTTCTTAACGGTAACATTTGAGTAATTGCCTTATCCTCAAACTGAGTGTCTTGTCTCATTTCTGACTCTGTGTTTATATGATTCTTGGTGCAGTTGACCTTGATCTCAGATGAGGTCCCTGAATGCCACAGAAATACCGGTGGCAATGAGCAATAATAGTGAGGATGATGATGATAAGAATAATAGTAATGACAGTGATAATAATAATGATGATGACCATGATTGTGATGGAAAAAGATAATTCACATAATGAATAGAATATTTTTGTTTGCCAGCCCACTGAAGGCACAAAGTCCGCATCCCATCCAGTCACTGGAGAAATTCAGGTAGATATACGGTGAATATATATTGAAGTATGAAGTGTGTGTATGCGTGTGTTTGTATTATACTGCTGTTGAATATGTTTGAATTTTAAATTAATTTTCCAAAGGGATCCTCTTTTAAATGATTTAGGTCAATTCTGAAATAGCTGCAAGTCCTTGAAATGTCACCAAAGTCAATGGAATACTGTGGAGTGTAAAGCACTGCTAGATTTAGACCTTTGACTTTGAAGCAAGGGACAGAAATCACACACAAACCAGTGTCAGTGATCAGAATTGCGTTCAAATCTGAAACACAGCAGAAGTTCAGTGCACATAAACCACTTTCAAAATGGCTGAAACCCATTTAAGGTAAACCTGGATAGAGATAGTATCAGACTTAAGTGATTTAGGTTAAATGGATTTGTTGATCTTCTGTCCCAGATCCCCTCCAGACTCAAGTTAATGCATAATCCCCTAGTATCCCAGGATGCTTTGTACCTTCCCTGCAAACCCACTCTCACAGGATGGGCAGGCTAGACCTGACCCAAGCTTTCTGCTCCAGCCAAGCAGGGAGGTGTACTCTAGTGCCCCACAGCTTCTGTCCTGAGCCACTGCCAGCATGTGGCTGCATTTCCAGAATCAAAAGTGAATGTCTGTTTACTTGCTTCTCAGTTTAATCTATGCAGCTTAAACTAACCTGTGAAGATTGAATCGATTCAGACTCGGGCTTTTTAACTGTCTGTACTTAGCCTTAATATCAATGTATTACAAGTAGCATTCAGAAGTAGCAAGGGAATTGCTACTTCTCTCAAAAAGGCTAAAAATTTTATTGGAGTTGATTCTAATCTGTTATGGTTGGCAGTGATTGCAAATTGCCTTAGAAAATCTGACACGGTGTGTGCATGCAAGCAGGCGTGGTGGTGGATTCTTAATGATACACTGCAGTATGCCATGCAGTGCTGAGTATTTGATTCTCTCTCATGTGTACTGACCTCACTGTAGGAAAGGGGGAAAAAAGAAGCTTATGAAATTCATTATGAGATGAAAGTGTAGTCAGCGCACAAAGCACTGCTGATAGTGAGAACACTTCACTTCCTGATTCCACTTGAGCAGTTGAGAGTCACCTTTGTTAAGCAGAGGATCCCACTAATTTCAATGCCAGTTGGACCTCTAAGAGGTGAGGAAACCTGTCATTCCTACGGTGGGAAAGCGCAGCTGCTTCAAGGCATTGGGAAACACAGCTGAGAGAATCTGGTTCTCATCTCTTTACCTCTGATCTGGTTCCTGCAGTGCATCTGAGAGCCAAAAGTCTGGAACTTAAAGTAAGTCAGTTGAAAACCAGAGGAATAGCTGACTCTGGAAGAACTTTTTGTCAGTTCTCAGCAGATGTGATACTAGGAAGTAGAAGCAATGCAAGCTGAGGAAGGTGGGTCGGCTGTGCTGCTAGCATGGACTGGAGAAAAGGACAGCAGCCCAAGAGGAAAGGGGAAATGAAAAGTGGGGCCAGTGTCTTCTACAGTTAAAAGACAGTAGTAGGTGTTAGGATGGACATTTCAGGTGTATGGGGAAAAGGAGTTTCTTTATTCGGTGGTGCAGGCACCTTAATTCTGTGCACTTCAAAACTAAATATGCCCTGAATTAAGCAGTCCTGCACTACCGATGGCATGGATTTATGTAGCCAATGCTTATAAGTGGTTGAGTCTGTGAGTGGTGGATGCCACACCAATGTATTAACTTTAGGGCCTCTGCTTTGAACTCTCTAATGCAAGAGGTAGTGGTAGAGTGATGTAACCATGATGGTTCAGGCATTATGCAAGAGGCAAGGATTTCTTTGGGTGATATCTTTTATTGGACCTGAAGGAGAATGTCTTGCATTAGAAAGCTTGTCTAACTCTATCCTAACTATGCAGTTGTTCCAATAAAAGATATCACCCAAGGAAATCCTTGCCTAATGGAAGAGTTAATGTTCTTGGTTGTGTCAGCCCTTTTCTTTGTAGGAAACAAACATTCTTCTTAGCAGAAAGCTAAATTTGCTGCTGTGCTTCCAGTTCCTCGAAAGATTAAATCATCTGCAGGAATAAGCAGCTTGTCAGCTTGGTTTTAAAAACATGTGAATAAGTGTTGTTGCATTTAACAGAAATGTATGCAAAGGCTTTCAGGGGGAAATTGAACTATTTAGCAAGGAAAGTTAAAAATAATCTTAAAGTATTTTAATGCTTCTCTAGCTTCAAGTCAACTATGACAAGCACCTTGGCAATCTTATCATCCACATTCTTCAGGCAAGAAATCTTGCTCCCCGAGACAACAATGGCTATTCTGACCCTTTTGTTAAAGTTTATCTCCTTCCAGGGAGAGGGTAAGTGTCGAGGATATTTCAAATTCTATTGCTTTTAATGAGTGTTTGTTATTGCTTTGAATTACAGAATTCAAATTAATGCTACAACCCCTTTTCCCTGTATTTTTGGTATGACATCAAGTGACACTGCACATCTCTATTACTTTAACAAGTATTGAAATTAAAGGCATGCTGTTCTTCCCAGTGAAATGCCTGTGAGTTTTGCCAATGACTTCAGTCATTTATTCTTATTTGCGTATTTTCACTTGGAGAAATGTACATGCATGCATTAAATTTACATTCAATTTTATTAAATATAGGTTGTTGTCTAGCAAAGCTCATCCACCTCCCCAGAATCCAGAGTTCTTATCAGCATCTGTCGTGAGCTAACGTTGAACTGCCTGGATTTTGTGGGTCCTCCAAGTTGTTCTGAGACTCTGTATCGGAGGATGCTGCAAGGCCAAGTTAAAGTGACATTGCTGCTTTAGCTCAAATTTTTGGCTTTTGTGAATTTGAGACAGAGATTTGCAATGTTTGGGGGTCAGGCTAGATGATCTGATCAGGTCCCTCCTGACCAGCTACTATAATACTACTATGATACTATCCCATGTACATTAATTTCTCTTTGTATGACTAACTGACTTGAATACAGGATATATGAAAAGGGAGAGCTAAGACATGGATAGCCTGGTGGCTGGAGTCTATCATATATGCTTGTTGATTTTTATTTTTTTTTACAGATTTTTTTCACCTTTTTCACAAATGACAATTCCTCTGAATTATTAATATAATAACAAATACATTGTTGGTGTCCTCTCGAATTCTATTATCTCTAGATAGATAGGTAGATATTTTAAGCAGTATGATCGTAAGAATTTTATATTCAGTTGTCAAATTGCTTCCCTAAATACAACCTCACATTTGCAAATATATCTGTTGGCATATACGTGCACTGTCCTGCACATATTTTTCATTTAAGGAGACCATGTAAATGTGCCGATATACTGAGCCCCCCTTATGGTTTGGTCTTTTTTTAAGGTAAATTTTTGTTGGGTGCTGCTAGCACAGCTGTTTTGAAAAGTAAAAGAATCCCAAAAGATAAACCAAATTTGTGTGTGCCCAGTTTAGTAAGACATTTTAGAACATGAATTAAAGTACATAACTTGTCCCCCTGAAGTCACAAATGGCCTTAAGCACCTGACTGATTCAAGCCACAAAGCCAGGAACAGAGGCAGTTTATGGTGGAAATGTAATACGTAGCTACGGTGGCACCAGCAAATTCTGCTTTGTCTGAAAACGGAATTTTTACTAAATGTGGATCCTGCCAAGTCACAACTTTTAGTGGGTTTGGCAGGGCAATGATGGTTATGGATGTGATTGATATAGAACTAGACCCCAGGTGACAAGGTTTGAAAATAATTTTAAATCCGGATACAAACTTTGACCAAGTTCTGGGTGTTTAAATTTGAGTGTCAGTTTGGATTCACTTCTAATTTAAACTGGTTTTATTGTTATTGTTCATAATGGGACAAGCTGTTTGAATCCTTTTTAATGTAGCTGTGATAGTTAAAATGGAGATCTCCTGAAAAAGTGCATTTATTGTATTTGAATGCAAATGTATTAACTGATTTTTAATTATTAACTTCCCTTCACTATATTGCTCTTACTAATGTTCCTCTTTTCTTTGATTCTGGTATTAGAAATTATCCATTTGTTATTCACATATTCTCTCTTTCATTTTCATCTCTTCTCATTTTCTCTCGTGTTGCTTCCTTTACTCTCTACTCTGTTTACTACACTGCCTCTTGACTGCAGACAAGTCATGGTTGTCCAGAATGCAAGGTAGAGTGCACAATCTTTCCATTTTATACTTGGAAGCATGTACACATCAAGTTGTGATTATTCTGTGCATGTAACTATAGATTTTCTTTGAGAACTGATGGCATATGAATCCAGCAAACAGGACTAGCTTTACTATTCACTGTCTTATGAATCTCATTTCCAGGAAGGACAGAAATAAGAAACAGAGGAAGAATGACTTTGGTTTCTTGATGTAGTTACTCTGAAATCAATAAATAAAGAAAATTCCTCTTGCAGTCAATGGAAATTTTGTTCAGTCAAGTACTGCAAAACTTGGCCTTTACTCTTTGATGTTTGCAGAAGTGATTGAGTGTGAACTTGTCATATAATATTTGTCTGAGGTTACTACAAAGAGACTGTCTGGGAAGCAGGTGCTACTTGGAACTGAGCCAGTCCTATTTTTTCTTTACAGCTATTATACACCTTGTACAAAAACCACTGAATTAAAACCAAATGGGATGCTAGATTATTGCACTAGATGGATTTAAAGCTATCTGGCAAGAGTCCACAAATAAATGGCGATCTGAAGCAGGCACAATTGAATGGTCAGTTGTTAGAACTACCATTGCAGGGTTTTGAACAACAAAAGTAAAACACAAAATTCTGCTCTCTCTCACACCATTGTCAACCCAGAGTAACTCCATGACTGTTGAATTCAGCCTTATAACCTCACATTTACTTAAAAAGCAAAGTTTGACCAGGCCAACAGCTGGCTTTTAAAAAAAAACAAATTATGTTATGGATGTGGTTTGGGAAGTTTCCCAGTAACTTCTGCAGTAAAAACTAAATCAAAGAATTAATTTAGCTTCTCTGCTATGGCCCTTTTACACCCTGATCATCTAATAGCCCCACAGATGCCCTTGCTGGTTTCCTGCTTGTGATGTATTTTAAGAAGGTTTTATTATTCACTTCACCATCTTTTGCTAGATGCTCCTCAAATGCTTTTTATTTATTTATTTTTTTTGGCCTACCTTATTTTATTTTTACACTGACCTGTATCACCCTCTGCTAATCACAGTTGAGGGGGTAGATGTGATCTCGATGTAGTGTATTTGCCAGGTCTTAGTGTTCAGAATTACACCATCTCAGTCTTTGTGTGGACTTTACTAGATTTGGTCAGTTTTGTACAGCTCACTCAGACCTTTTTCTGCAGCACTGCAGGTGCACTGCTACTCTTGCCGTTGTAAATCCAGACTCTGTGAACTTCAGTGAAGCTACTTTGGATTGACACTGGTATTCAAAGCAATTAGTGCATGTCTCTGCCAGCTACACAATACTGGTACACCATCTTGTATTTAAGTGTCTCCAAAGATGTGATGTTGTGCAGCACCACAACAGGAGAACAGGGATACCCGTTTTTTCCTTGGTCTTGCTTTTTTTGGATGGTTATACAGGAAGGCCACTGCTACCTACTTTGAAGAAAATAATTATTTCCCCTAAATCAGTAGGCTGCTTGAGATCTGGGGAGGTGTAATGGATTCAGAGTCCTTGAGCCTCTGTCCTGGTTTACAGCTCCTCGACTCCCCCCACTCCTCCACCCCAAGTTAGGAAGGAAATGGTTTGCAACCTGGGCAGGTTATTTTTTATGGATCTGTCTGAGCTGATGAGAAAAAGACATGCATATGTGAACATTGGTGTGAGGCCACTGAGAGAAGTACTAGCCCAGACCTGTCATTTCCCAGCTTCCCCTGTCTACAAACATGCAGATGGAACCTGAGAAATGTCTGGGGGTGGGGAGAAAGGTTTCTAGGAGATAAAAACAGCAACTCCATTGATGTATTTTGGGTTTGTTTTTTTTTTCCAAACCAGCATAAATATTTAAGAGTACCAGGGAACAGGATTAGTAATCCCAGCCTTTCTGCTTCCCTGAGAGGCTTAGGGTTTTTCAGCCAGTTTTGCAAAGCAATTAAGATTTCAGGGTGAGTTTCTTTTAATACGCACTTGTTTGCCCTGGAATCCCATCCATCTCTTTGCACTGATACATGGAGAAAAAGAAAAAGAACTCCTTTTTCAGAAAGATACCATTATAGTCTGGGATTGACCAAATGGATCACATTATGGACAGCTTCTGTTTTCCTCTCTGAAGCAGAAGTGGGAAGGCACTTTGTTTTATAGAACTTGGTTCCCTGCATTTTTCAGTCAGCTGGAGACCAACAATACATCATGCAAGAAAATGATTGAGGGAATGTGGGATGCAGAGGAGCTGAAAGTCACTTTCTGTAGAAAATGCTACTTAGAACTGACTGCCTGAATAAAAGAGGCAGGAGAGGGCTCTCACTCCGGTATCACTGTGACTACAAATACCTCATTATCTGAGGCAAACCTCAGCGGTGCTGTACATTATTTAATAAGTGGGACATAATGCAGTGTCAGAGAGAGGAGAATCTGGACTTCAGTTTTCATTTTCATAATATAAATTTGAAAATGTAACAGTGCTTGTCAGAAAATGGTAACTATTTTCTGTGAAATTTTAGGCAAAGAAAAATGTTTTATTTTTTTTTCCATTTTGAATAATAATGAATATCTAAAAATATTCACCCCTGAAAGCTTTAATGAAAAAAAGCAGTTTGCAAAGAACAAAAAAGAAATCCTCAAAATCAAAACCTGCTAATTTGTGTTTTGTCATTCAAACTGTTCATGTGAAATGAAAAATTTCCCAGAAAATGCTCACTAATAAAAAGGAAATTTTTCATTTTGATAAAAATGATTAAAAGACTTGAACCAACATGGTATACAAGCAAGAACAAGGATTGTTGATGCACTTTATTATTCCAAGCCTGCTTTCATGTGGAGGTACTTAAATATGCCATTGTTACTAAGTTATTTGATCACTTCACAAACAGTCCTTAATTAGTTTCTACAAGGAAAGCTTTACTATCCCCTATCTACAGCCTACCCATTCTAGCAGTATAGATTTATATACCTTTCTAGTGTTTATCCACATGCTAGACTTGTAAAACTGATAGTACTGCCACTTTGTGGACTTATTACTTTGGTTAAAGTGGTAAAAGCTGACATACTGTGTGCATCCAAATGAATGCGCACGTGCATTTCCCCAGGGACAAACAGCAGCAGCATATAGTTGTGCTTCTGCTACTTGTCGCTGGGTAATGCCAGTGCACACGTGCTCTGGTGCACAGCAAATAGTCACAGGTTGGGTAGGGAAGGCTTGCTTCAATAGCATTACCTGGAGCCTGGGGGTGTCCCGGGGCTCCAGCAGCAGCAATATGGGCACACAGAGCCTGGCCAGCAAGTAGAGTATAGTTCTGGCCAGCCAGGCGCCGGTTCAAGCAGCACATACTGCTGCCACATGCAGTGCCCTGCTGGGATCTCCCACTGTCCAAAAACCCAGTTGCGCTGCAAGTCAGCAGCGCAGCAAATTCCTGCATGAGCAGTGTGTGTGGTTTGTGGTGCCGTGGATGCATCTGCAGTGCCACAGACCTTATGTGCATGCTCATTTGGTGCACCCAAAGATCCAGGTGGAGAGGCAGGTTTTCTTATGTGGGGACAGGAAGGGCCATAGGTCCTGCAATAGACCATCTCTAACGCTGTGTGGCATGTTAACAAGGGTTTCATCACTCATACACATGGCAAGTATCCAGCCCACCAAATATGGGTGCTTATATGAAGAAGAGACTTAATATTCTAATTGTACAGCTGCTGAAGAGCTCAAAAGCTTTGAAGAAGATTGTTTTATAAATGGTTTTATAAATGGTCTTTTCTTTGGATGTGTCTTTAAATTCTGATAATAAGCCCTGTTGGATTACGGAATAAATCTTGAAAAGCACAGGCAAAAAGCCTCCATCTTTTGGAATATTTAAAACTGGACCAGATAAACAGTAGTAAATGAAGAGCAGACTAATGCCACGCTGATAAGCAAATGAACTAAATGGTGTAAACACCCTAGGTCTTCCATTCTGTAATATTACATGAAGTAAGAGAAAAGTAAAATCCTCACTTAATTGAGTTGAAATGACAGTTTCAAGTACATTTCACCCAAGTCGGGTTAATCTTAAAATACAGTTAAACATAAAAGTATGGAGTATCCATCACATTCCTAAATCATTGGATTCCTTATTTGGATGTTTGGCGTGACAATTTGAGCTGCAGTCGAACAGTACAATGTGTTTAAAAAATTGTAGCACCATTGCTTTAGGTCAGAGGTGCCCAACCTCCAGCCCATGGGCCAAATGTGGCCCTGGAGCCTTGGGATGCAGCCTGCGGGGCTCCCCAGAAGTGTGGAAATTTGGTGGTGGAGGAGCAGTGGCAGTTAGTACTCTATGTCTTTGACTGCTCCCTGTTGTCAAAATCCCAAACCCTGAATGGTGGGTCAGAGTCAGGGCATAATCCTCCCCCAACATGGCCAGATCAGGGTCAGGCCATGCCCCCTTCCCCTGTGAGGCTGGGTTGGGCATGCCCTGTCCTCCTGTGCAGCTGGTTCAGGGCTGGCCCATGCCCCTTTCCCTGCCACAGGGCTGGGCCATGCCCCCTTTCCTCTTCCCCAGCCAGGTTTGGACCAGGCCATGGCCCTTTCCTCTCACAGGGCTGGATCGGGACTGGGTCATGCCTCCTCTTCCCAGGGGGCTGGGGCAAGGCCCCTTCCCCTGCACAGCTGGACTGGGGCACGTCTGCCTCTCCCCCTACTCACTTTGCATAGCCAGATGGGGCCTCACTGCACCTGCCTCAGGTGCCAGATTGGGTCCACCAGCCAGATCTGGTCAGTGGTGGGACTGGTCACTGCCCATTCAATCTAATGAACAAAAAGGTTGAGCTCCACTGCTTTAAGTGAATCTGAAGAGCCAACCAAAAAAAAGGAACTCTAAATAATTAAGCTACATATTCAGTATCATATGCTTATATTGGAAATGTATTACTCTTCAAGTGATCCCATTATTTTGATGGGGCCACTCATGCTTGACATGAGCAAGCTTATCAGAATATGGCTGCTGCAACAAAAACTGCCAAATAATGAGGCAGTCTATCCTGGCCATTACTTAATTAGGAACACAACACAATGAAACAAGGAAAAATCTAGCTGAGAAATCTTATTTTTACCCTTTTGGAATAGGGTAGCAAACAAGGAAAGCAACTGAAAAAAAGAAAGAAAGAAAACTCTCTCTAAGTCTTTGAGTGCTCTGTTAATTGATGGCCATGCTAAATATAAGTAAAAGGGAAGTTAACTCACAGCTTGTCAGAAATGGATTCTAGATATTAAATCTATTTGGGCTCTCACAATCATATGAACTCTTAGCATTTTTTATACAACTTTATGCATGTTCTCCATTAAAATTTATATTACATGAAAATTGGGTCTACTATTAAATTGCAATTGGGTCTCACATCAAAGCTTGTAGTGACAGATGAATCCATATTGCTTTAAACGGTGAGTACATTACTGTCTCTTTCAGGAAATACATGGTATAATAGAGTGCATTACATACTTCTTTTACAACAGATAATCCAACCAAACCTCTTATACTTGCCTATTGATAAAAAAAAAAAAAGCCTGAAGCCTGATGCACTTTTATGCCTGATTTTACTGTGGTTTGAATTGAAGGCAGAGAATAGAATCAATAAGAAATTAGTGTTGCTATCATTAATGGGATATCAGTTGTAGCACAGCTTGTATTTAATGTTCTTCTGAGATGAGGCTTCTGTGATTAAAGAATACACACTATAAAAATGGATTGAGCTAAATGTGCTAACAGGAAGATGTTCTTTGGTAAGAAATAAATGCACTTTCCTTCATAGTTATAATTAGAGACCATCTATAAAGACCTAGGGTGGTATTTGTAAGAACTTTAAAAAAAAAGAGAGAGCTTCTGTATTTATTTATTAACATTGGAGGTAGAAACAATACCTTGTGCATAGACTAACCTTACTGAAGGTTTTAACCTTACTGTAGCATGAGAGGATGGTATAGCAATCGTGCAACTTAGCTCTCATTGTAACGTTATAGCACCTAGTTGTGGTGGTTTGGGTTTTTTCTTGTGTTTTCTTCATGAAACGGTTTCTGAATTGGAACTGAAGGAAAAGGGAGAGGACTAATGCAATGTTCTCTTCTTTGTTCAAATTCAGTGCTGAGTACAAGCGGAGGACTAAATACGTGCAGAAAAGCTTGAATCCTGAATGGAATCAGACGGTCATTTATAAAAACATCTCCATGGAGCAGGTGCGTGACTCTCCGCACAGTTTGCTGAGGTTTTCAGTTTATATGGTCAAGGAGAATCATTACAGAATTATAAGGAAGTTTATCCCTGTCTGAAATTCTGCCATCAAATTGAGGAGAAACCTTGGAATTATCCCCTTGCCTCTGACAAAGTTAATTATTTTATAGATGTTCTTAGACCATCCCTGACAAAGATTTCCATTTCTATTTTCAGTAGCAATGCTTGCCAAAAACCTATATATATTTTGGAATGTACTATATTCCATTCACTACTAGGTATTTAAAAGTACTATTGGGAGTTAATACTGCCAACTCCCCCCCACCTCCATCCCTTTTTAGTTCTAAACACACATGCGTCGTTTAAAAATGCACAGAATGACCACCACTATGTTACTAACAGTATACTTAGTGTATTTTTCCAAGACAAATTTCCTCTTTTGAGACCACCTACTTGATAATCATCAAATTATCCTCCTTCCTTCCTGATTGTATGGATAATAGCAGGTCCATAGCACACCTACTTACTCGCAGGACTGTAGCTAACACTTTTGGGGGAATCTCCAGGCCTCTGAGAGGTTTCCATTTACTTGGTACACAAAAGCAACATTATAAAGGTGATGCTGACAACTTTGAAAATGATGTTGAATTACACAGGGGAGGTGAATTGTGACAGAACATTTCTCAATAAGATACAGAAAATAAGAGCTATTGATCCATACCGTCATCCTGGTTCACTAAAAATAGGGGTTACTTTGGTTTTCTTTATGTTAAATATAATATGGAATATGAATGTATTCAATTGTAGCATGCTCTGTCAGCCAAGCAAAACATCTTTATTTCCTTATTGTAGAGAGGTTTTGGTCTTATTAGGAAGCAGGGAATCTGGTGTTCTTAAAATCTTCCTCGTGCTAATTGTGGAGGCTCTCTTGATTTCTAGAAAAAATGCATTTAGCTTTTCCACAGGGTTTGTATATAAAAGAGATGTCTTGACCCTTTAAAAAAAAGCCAGACATTCTTGCAAGAATTTATATGCAAGAATTCTGAAGTAACAAGCCTGGAGAAATTATTGCCCACTTGTCTCTCTAAAATGTTCCTGCATTTCTTAATATTTTGTTGTTGAAACTTCTCACTTCATTTTTAATGGCAATCCAAAATGTGGGTAGTTAATAAACATTTGCCATGAACTACTTCTTCATCTGGGCATCCAGCCCTCAAACTCACTAACTTATATGTGTTTCTCATTTTTCATTTTCTATAAGAATTTTTTTTTTTGCATGGCATGAATATACGCATTTCTAGAGATGGTGCTATAGAGCTCAAACGATTGCTAGTGTGATATACAATCTTTTGTCTTTAATGTTGCTCCTGAAATCCAGCTGAGCAGAGCTGTATTATATTCAGCAGCTGTTTTATAGGGTCTATGTGCATGCTATGCTTTGTCTTTGTGTCGTGTGGGCTTGCACACATGAAATTTCAGCCAAAATCACTACTTTATATCACAGTGACTGCATAGGAAATGAAACCATAAGCCTCATATGGCTAAAGGGCAAGCCTTCAACTTCCTACATTCACTGGAGAGAACTGCACATTTTACATGTAACATAAAACCTTCACTTTGTTTAATTAGTTTTCTGGTTCTACAGTGAACATTTCACACAGGTTCAGCTAGCAATGGTTAAATTCAACAGCTATTTGATGATCCTAAATGAGGTGATAGTCTGGTGCCTAATGGACTGGTATCAGGGTATCAGAAAATCCCATTTAACCCCTGGCACTAACGGGTAGCTTGTATGTCAGTCTTCAATCTTACATTTTAAATTTTTTGAATCTTTGCATGGTACAACTCATGTCTCTTCTTGTCTCTTCTCTATAGGTTCCTTTACTATACCTGTCACCATACTATCCAAACAGTTTTCAGTAGAACAGTAAGCAGTGTCACTAACAACATTTGTATGTTGGGTTTCTTGTCTGTCGTCAACTCCACAGGCAAATAGTGTATAGTGAAGGATTTGGGTAATTTTCTTTAATTCCCTCTCACTTCTCTTAGCATCTGCTGGGTAGACACAAAGGGATTCTTGCATAGGCGAGTGGCTCTTCTTCTTCCTAGAAACATCAGTGCTAGTCAGTTCTGGATTAATTCTTTTCTTTTTTTTCTGCTTCTCTTTTGGCTTTGCTTTCTCCTTCTCTTCTTCCACCTTCTTTTTTTTTATTGTTTTGTCAATGTAATTGATCCTAGAGACTATGATGAATGAAAATGTAAATACAAGAAAATAAATATTGCAACTTGAAAAACTATCCTCCACTGAAAAATCAGCCCCACACAACATGGTATTGTCTGCATTAATAAATGGCATGAGTTGATATTTTACAGTGGTTTGCAAGATTAAACAGAAATGTAAGATGATAACTATGATCATCTGAGACCCAATGTTTAGATCAACAAGCAACTAAAACTGCATCAAGCATTGTGTAAGTCATGGTCAGTCACAAATTGTTCCCATCCCAATACCAGCTCACAAATCTTGATAAAGATGACTTGCTCACAGAAGCATTTTTCTTCCCTCCATCAAAGGCATGCTTGCCTGCTGACAGCAAATAAGTATTATTAAATGTTTGCTAATACTGTCCTTTGAACGTCATTGTCTAGGCATAGACTGGTTATACAATTTTTCATTTTCTCTTTCATAACCCAGTTGAAATTAAAGTGAAAATAATTGAGGAAGAGATCAGTCTTTGAAATGAAACAGACGCTTTCAAGGATACGGTGATTAATTTAAAATTGTAGCAAATTCTAGTTCAACAGTGGCAGAAAAAATAAATTAAATGCTATGTATTTTGTAATTTAAGTTTGTGAAAGGGGATGAGGTAGAGATAATTTTAGTTGGAGGAGTATCATCCATTGTATAGGTGATGGGTAGGCAGAGTCACTTAGTTGGCAGATTCAATTCTGAAATGTCCAACTTCTTTTCCTAGCTTTGCCATTGCAACTGTACTGATCTTAGACAAGTCTATTTTCCTTGTTGAGCTCAGTTTCCTAATCAGTATAAAAAAGTAGAGTATTATTTCCTTACCATAAAGGTAAGAAGTTTAATTCATCCATGCCTGTACCTTCAGCTCCTAGAATAGTAATTAACATCTAAGAGATTTATTTAGAAAGAATAACATTTTCACATCAGAGATTCATAGAAAATTAGAGTGGGGAGGGACCTCATGACGTCATCTAATTCAACCTCCTGCTTAAAGCAGGACTACCCCCAATAGAACAACCCAGCCAAGGCTTTGTCCAGCCAGGGCTTACAAACCTCCAAGAATAGAGATTCCACAACCTTTCTGCGTAACCTGTTCCAATGCTTTACTACCCTCCTCATGAGAAGGTTTTTTCCTAATATCTAACCTCAACTTCCCTTGCTGCAACTTGAGACCACTGTTCCTTGTTCTGTCATCTGCCACCCCTGAGACCAGTCCAACTCCAACCTCTTTCAGACACCACTTCAAATAGTTGAAAGCTGCTATTAAATCCCCTCTGTCTTCTCTTCTCCAGACTAAATAAACCCAGTTTCCTCAGCCTCTCCTCATAAGTCATGTGCCCCAGCCCCCTAACCATTTTTGTTTCCCTCCACTGGACTCTCTCCTACCTGTCCACATCATTTCTGTAGTGGGGGGCCCAAAACTTTACACAGGACTCCAGATGTGGCCTCACCAGTGCTGAATAGAATGGAAGAATCACTTCCCTTGATCTGCTAGCAACACTCCTACTAGTAGAGCCTAGTATGCTGTTAGCCTTCTTCGCAACAAGAACATATTGTTGGCTCATACTAGGCTTATTATCCACTATAACCCCCAGGTCCTTTTCCGCAGAGCTGTTGATTAGCCAGTCAGTCCCCATCCTGTCCTGGTGCATGGGATTGTTCCATCCTAAGTGCAGGACTTTGTACTTGTCCTTACTGAACCTCATGAGATTTCTTTTGGTCCAATCCTCCAACTTGTCTAAGTCTCTCTGAGTACTAGCCTTACCTGCCAGTGCATCTACTACTCCCCCCAGCTTGGTGTCATCTGTAAACTTGCTGTGTGTGCACTCCATTTCATCTTACAGATTGTTCATGAATATATTGCACAAAACCAGTCCCAGAACTGACCCCTGGGGCACTCTACTTGATACTGGCTGCCAACTAGACATCAAGCCATTGACTGCTACCCTTTGAGCCCAATGATGCAGGCAGTTTTCTGTCCACCCTACAGTCCATTCATCCAACCCATATTTCCTTAGCTTGGTTGTGAGATTGTTGTGGGAGATTGTATCAGAAAAAGTCAAAGTCCACAGAAACAGTCATCTCATCATAGAAGGCAATCAGGTTGGTCAGACATGACTTGGTCTTGATGAATCCATGCTGACTGTTCCTAATCACCTTCTTCTCCTCCAAGTGCTTAGAAGTGGATTTCTTGAGGATCTGCTCCATGATTTTTCTGGAGACTGAGGTGAGGGTCACCAGTCTGTAGTTCCCAGATGCTCCTTCATCCCTTTCTTAAAGATGGGTACTATATTTGCCCTTTTCCGATCATCTGGGACCTCTCTCAACCACCATCAGTTTTCAAAGATAATGGCTCTGCAATCACATTGGCCAGCTTGCCCAGAACTCAGATGCATCACAACTGGCCCCTTGGACTTGTACGTGTCCAGCTTTTCCCCATTCTTTTGCAAATGTTTGCAAGTGACTTAGAAACTTAAAGTTCCATTTTCAGAAGTCAAACTCATTGGGATTTTGGTGCCTTACTTCTACTGAGGGTCTAAATTTAAGTATCTAAATGATTTTTGAGAATGGTATCTCAGACCCCTAAGTCATTTAAGTATCTTTGTAAATTTTAGCCAAAGTTTCTTCATCCTCCATGTACCAAAGCCCATGGTAGCCATTCAAATGCATTTACAATTCTCATATAGTATTATAGAAAATAACAAGGTATTTTAAAAATGTTACTACTTAATAATTGCTGTGCACAAAGTATTC